TTCTGCTGGAAGTAGTCGTTGCAGGGTGACGCTGCTTCCGCTAAAGCAATAACAGCAGCAACAATGACAAGTTAAGTGTGTACAGTTTACTCAAATATTAGAGCTTGAAGCAAAAACAGCCGTATCTCAGTTTCAGTGGTTTGTCAGCTGACGATGAGCAGAGGAAAACGAGTTTGTGTGATTAAAAAAGGAATAAACTTTGTCATACAAAGTAAAAGAACCTCTTTGTCAGCATTTCACCGCTGCTGACTAACGTTACACTGAATGCAGTTTGTGCTTTAAAGTTGCTGCTGCAGCCGCTTTCAGAGGAACAGTTTTCATTTTCTCCCTCAAAAACCATCGGTGACTGAGAGAGCGAGTGCTCAGCGGAGAGTAGACGTTCGTTCACTGGAGTCGGCGGTTCCACCTTAAATGGTGCTTGAGGCACCTGAATGTAACTGCTGCACCATTTAAGGTGGAACGGAAAAATTCGAACAGGAAGTCGACTTCAGCCACTTTATGTTTGACGGTTTCTCATTGCAGATTAAACATTTCAGGAAACCGGTTGAGTGCTTATAAACGCAAATAAGAAAAAGTCTACAGTGGCGCTACGGGGCCTGATGACCCGGCACACCCCCTGCCGGGATGTGTGCGTGTTCAGCTTTTGCCGCTTTAAGTAGTTTATTGTTAGCAAGCTGTTCCAACATCTCCAGCTAATATTTCTGAGGTTATTAACTATCCAGGCAATAGCAGAACTTGTTTTACTCAGGGTTTACACACTTCCATTTCTTGTGAAAAGGGCCTACTGAGGAGCTTTTGGAGCTACAGGCCCGTCTGTACACGAGGAGAACCACTCTGGAAGCAATTCACCAGTTAACATGCCCAGCTGGTGCAACATGAGTGCTGAAACCTGTGTTATCAGCTCTCAGGCTCCACGTCTGTGGCCAAAAGGCTCATGAAATTCACCCTCAACAGACTCATCTGCCTAAAGGAGAGCAGCAGCATCAATGTTCCCTTCTTCATCTAATGCCAGATTTCATCACAGCAAACAGGCTCGAGGCTCTGAGCTCCCTGGTTTCAGCATCACTCTCACAAGAGCCTCAAAATGCTCAGAGAAGTTTCACTAAACTTACACATTTGAGATGATTTATTAACGTTGTTGTGCCTCCATGGTAAATCTGCCTCTCATCACACATTCTGCACTACAGTTTCTTCTTAACGTGATATGAAAAGCTCCCACATGGGACTCCTTTTGAGGCAGGTTTGCTCTTTTAGCTCAATTGGCCGTGTGGAAAGTGGTGCAGTTTGAGATGAAATGATGCAACATGGATACTTGACATGAATTTATAATGAATTTATACATCGATCAGGCATAACATTATATCCGTGTTTCTACACTCACTGTCCATTTTATCAGCTCCACTTACTATATAGGTGCACTTTGTAGTTCTACAGTTACAGACTGTAGTCCATCTGTTTCTCTGATACTTTGTTAGCCCCCTTTTACTCTGTTATGCAGTGGTCAGGACCCCCATGGACCCTCAAGGAGCAGGTACTATTTGGGTGGTGGGTCATTCTCAGCACTGCAGTAACTGATGTGGTGGTGGTGTGTTAGTGTGTGTTGCGCTGGTCTGAGTGGATCAGACACAGCAGTGCTGCTGGAGTTTTTAAACACCTCAGTGTCACTGCTGGACTGAGAATAGTCCACCAGCCAAAAATATCCAGCCAACAGCGTCCTGTGGGCAGCGTCCTGTGACCACTGATGAAGGACTAGAGGATGACCAACACAAACTGTGCAGCAGCAGATGAGCTATCGCCTCTGACTTTACATCTACGAGGTGGACTGACAAGGTAGGAGTGTCTAATAGAGTGGACAGTGAGTGGACACAGTGTTTAAAAACTCCAGCAGCACTGCTGTGTCTGATCCACTCGTACCAGCACAACACACACTAACACACCACCACCACCAGAAACACAATGAGCGTAGAAACAAGGAGGTGGTCATAATGTTATGCCTGATCGGTGTAATGCCGTGTGTTGCTATGGAAGCCATGATGGTAGCCGTCTCGTTTAAATACAGAGTGTATGAGTTTTGCTAAGAGTGAGGCATCAATATTTTTCTGTCCTGCTTTTTTTATTGTCCAGCTTTCACATCCATTAACCCTTTTGTTGCCATATGAAGGCTAAAGCAGAGAGCTAACAGCAGGTTTTACAGTGATACTGGCTGTGTTTGTGCTGGTTGTGGTATGTTAGAGCTGGTTTCTCTCACTCTGGCTAGTGATGGGCAGTTCCTCTGAGTGCTCAGGTGTGTCAATCATGTTGCTATTGTTAACCCTTTGTTTATAATATGAAGGCTAAAAGCAGAGATGTAATATAACAGTAGCGAGTGGGGTTTGGGTGATTTTGGAGCTGGACCGCTTGCTGATGGATGGTCACAGGTGGATGAAATCACTCTGGATGGTGCGGTCAGAGTCTGATGAGTGATCTGATGTGTGAATAATGTCAATGAAGGCCAAAAAGGAGAGTAATAATATCAGGATTCTGGGTGATTTTCAGAGCCAAATTACTCACTGATGCTGACGTCACAGCTCGCTGAGTCTGCTGAACGTCCTGATATGTGTATTATATATGTAGCTCAAACTGTTCTGCAGTTATGAAGGCTAGAAGTGACCTACCATTTTGCCTGCAAATTGCACAGAAAAGACCACAGCTTGAATCTTATAATTTGTAAGTATATTAAAACTAAAAAAAAGATAGAGACTGTTACTCTTCCTAACAAGTGATTCTAATTCTGCATATTAAATTGTGTAAAACTTTACCCTCCAAAAAGTTTTCTGACTTTGTTGGAGAAGTTTTTTAATATCCATGCTTATAATCAATCTTTTTCCTGAGATTTTAATCAAAGACGTGATTGACTAAATGAGAGAGAGACCGAGAGAGAGAGAGAGAGAGAGAGAAAGAGAGAGAGAGAGAGAGAGAGAGAGAGAGAGAGACAGCCGTGGCATCGGCGTTTGGATTAAATGATGAACGGCAGTTGTGAAAAGCTTTATGACATGTTTGTGCCTTTTTCTTCTCCCCAATCATTTATCAGATTGGCTGATTTGTTTTGCTTCAGTTATTCATCAATTTCCTTTACAGCTGCTACAAAGGCAAGGTCAGGAATACTGACAGAGATGAGATGAGGTGTCTGTGCACAAACATACTTCACGATCCACATCCATTTTCAATCCTTTCATTTCTACCTTCTACTGATTCTGTATTTCCTGAAAATCAAACTTTAATAAGTAGGTTGAAATCGTTGGTATTGATTCTGCATTTAAATGAAAATGTATGTTTACAAAATTACCATTTTTCACAGCAGTAAATAAGCACTCTTCTCATTTATATTTATGAATGAGATGAGCACCATATATTTTTTTGAACAGCAGAATAGGTTTGCCTTTAAATGAACACTTTTAAAAATAAAGGTAGCAAAAAATGGTCCTCTGGATAGACACCATAGAAGAACCACTTTCAATTCAGTCTCTTAACAGAAACCACTCGTCTGAAAGGTTTTTTAGGTGAGTTTAAGTCATGTTTCTTTGGCAGTGCTCCAAAAACCCTTTTCAGCACATTATTGAAGGGCGAAACTGGCAGGCCTCTACTACAAAACTGCTATAAAACATTCATTCATGAAGGACTCGATGGGTGGAATCAATAACAGCTGAAGCCCGACTATTATATCAGTTGGCCCAATATCAATGGCACCAATAAGAGGTACCTCCTCATTAATTATATGACAGCAATACAGGGTGGACAGGGGAATTCCACCAATTTTCCAAAATTTCTGCAGAATTTAGTCATTAAGATGTAAACAGAGTGATTCAGAGTGGTTTGGTGTGAAATGGTTCAGATCTCTTTACAGTGGTGGTGATAGGAACCAGGGGTCGCCATGACTACAACACAAATATAGACATTTTATTTACTATCCAAAACCACCAGTGAACCTACACGAGTCTTCTAAGTTTTATATGGAATGTTTATGGGAAAAATTGAAAAAACTAAGTTTTCTTTGGGGTCTATTTTGTGTCACAACATCGTACATGTACCCCTCAACCATGAATGGATTTTAAAAACACATTTTAGACCAAAACCTTCTCAAAACTATGGTAAAACAATGTCTCAGACATCAGGCAGACTATTTCTAACAATTTCATGTTAAAACGTTCTGTGAGGGAGCTTTTAAAGGCATTAAACTCTTCAGATGCCTGGTTTCATTCACCACCACCGTGAACAATTCTGACTTTCTCTAAAATGGAGCATTTCAATCAAACCACTCTGTTTACATCTCAACGATTTAATTATACAGAAATGGGAAAGACTGATGGAATTCTCTGTTAAACATGAACACAAAACACTATCATGACTAAAATAACAAAAACATGAAAACCTAAATCTCTCTTTAGGAATGAGAACAGCATTATTATAACACAAAAAAAAACAAGTTAAATTGGAGATAACTACCAAAAAAACAAAAACGCAAAACATTCTGGGTAACCCCGCCTCCAGTGCTGCAATATATTATCTAAGGCAGATTATTTGAGAGTTTGTTGTGTTTGAGTTTAAGAAACCTAATCACTGCAAACAGACATATTTCACAATTCACAGTTGACATCCAACAAACTGATCAGTCAGTAAAGCATGTAATTAATAAACCATTGTAATATAAAATTGAAATCCAAAAAAAAACAAATTATATCAGCTGACAGCTTCAGTTATCTTAATTTCTGATGCCTTAAAAACTATATTGGCCACAAAAATGATGCATCAGTCAGGTCCCATTAACAACAGCCAAAATATAAGAATGTAAAATTTATAGGGTGCCAGAAAAAAAAAGATTGTATGTGCCCGTAATAAAGAGACAGCAGAACCGAAAATGTCGTTTGGAAAGACATTTTCAAAGAATCCCTCCTCATCAAAACATAATGCAAAATGTGGACTCGCTACAGAGCTCGACAAAAGGAGCTGTGTGCAGTACTCACCTACAGCCAGCAGGGGCTGGTAGTGGTTGATGTTCTTGGTGGTCAGTGGGGGGCACATACGCAGGGAGAAGGGTGGCAAGGGCAAGCCGGACAGCAGCCCGGTCAGGAGAAACTTCAGCTGCACTTCCTGCTGGCCAGCCGCAGGCCAGGGGGGATCTACACCTGAGATCAGAGTGTGACCTGAGAACACAGCCAGTCGGAGAGCAGAAGGTCTGGTGAGGACAGTTTAATGAAAAATTCAATATGGGCATACAGTTTTCAAAAAATGATAAAATTGCTCAGTTTCATTATTTGATATGTTGTCTTTGTACTATTTTCAATTACATTTAAGGTTTAAATGATGTTTTTATTTACATTTTGCACAGCAGCCCAATTTCTCTGGAAATGGGGGTGTACTTCAAAACAAGGGGATCTAACTGCTCACTATGTAGCCATGAGGGACAGGGATGCAGCCTCATTCCTGCTCTAAAATGCAGGGGCGTGGCTAAAATAAGGCTCTGCCTACTGACTAAAACTGGGTACTGACAGCAATTTCTGAATAAATACATTAGTTTCACAACTGTAAATTTAGGGGTTAGGGTTTGGAGCAGACTTCTCCCAATAGAAAAAACCCAATAAATTATGTTCACTTATTATATATTTATAATAATAACTATAATAAGATAAATATATAATAATTACTAATTACTATCTCTATTAACACCTTGGGTTTAAATAGATCAGAACAGATTCCTAGTAAATAGCTAAGCTTTGAATACTTCATTGTTTTTTGTCTTTTCATTTACAGTTTCTGTTTTTACTGTACAACCGCAGCTAAAACTAATTTTGTATAATAGTCCATATTTCAAAAACACTGACATTTGAAGACATTTCCACCGTAAAGATTTGCATCAGCCTATTAAGACAATATCTTTCTTTCTAGATAAAGTGATTTGTGCACCTAAGCACACTATTTAAAACCATTTATTTTGGCAACAAGTGTGTTTGTGCTTGTGATGAATATCACTTAATTTAGAATACATTAACATCAATTATGTAAAAAGTAACAAGAATTTCTAGTAGTTGATATATTGTGAGTAATCTGAAATTTGTAATAGTGAGTAATAAATGTAATTTGAGCCATCACATGGATTTGTTGAATTCCATCAGCAGGACACCTGATTTAATTTAATGAAGTTTTTATTACCCAAACCAGGTATTAGATGATAACTACAGATAATAATGTGCTTCCTCAAAGACAGGTTTAGAAATGGTTAAACTAAAGACTTAAACATATAAAATCACTACTTCATTTTTTACTGATAATTGTTTTTATTCTAACATTAGTCCTCATACTTTCTATCAGTTCTAATAGTATATTTATATGTTATGTTTTCTACTTCCACTAGAGGGCCCTCCACAGAAATAATCACAGGAGCCCAAAAGCACACAGTGTTTAAACCAGTAATTCTTAGTCTGAGGGACACCAATCGCAAGATGGTCATCAAAAAGGGTACCCAGGACTATTCTGATGGAGCTCTGTGAAGGACTTTTCCATAAAACCTTTACGGCAGTTATAGGTATAAGCTGTATATAAGCTACCACTGTAGTTATAAGCTAAGGACAGCGGTGGTGACGAAAGAGCGACTGTCAAGTCTGTGACTGGAGCAGGCGGCTGCAGTAGCTGTATAGCAGCTTATAAATACAAAGCATCCACATTCAGAGTGTTAGCAAGTCAGAAACGTCTGCTATCTGAAGCAGATCATTTGGGAACCTCTCACAGGAACGTATTTACGTTAGCATTATTGAGTTTAAATAGTAAACATATCAGCTTGTTCGGAACGACTGAGCTGCTAAAAAAGTGTCAGTTGTTTGCAAATATCGTCATATAATTCTAATCAGCCTCTTATACTTGTGGGTATATTTCGGTTTTTCCATATGAATTTACATGCCCAAACTCTAAGGCAAATTATTCAGTAATTACATGAAATAAATTTACATTTTGGGTTTTTTTTTGTGTAAAAGCTCCCCTCAAATGAAAATGTGTTTTATGATCATAAACATATTGCTATATGCTTACAAGTTACGGCTGAAAGCCAAAAATCTTAGATGTTCTTTGTATTTTTTTATAAAAATAATTTTTACAGAATATATCACTGAAGAGACGCCGTCTGAGATCCAGTTTATAGTCCAGATTTGTGGAAAAACTGGTCGACTTTCAGTAGAAAAAGTTCAGCTTCTTTTATTATAAAGTTTTAAAACTACATTACCCATCTATTTGACTGGAATGAAGATAGTCCCAGCTCTCATATGACACCCACATTTTAAATGAAGCTTATAAAATATGAAAGTTATGAGATAAAGAATATGACGAAGTGCGTTTTGGAACAACTGGTGGTTCCAATGAGTTAAAAAGGTTAAACCAAAACAAATGGCTGTTTTATATGTTTATGGTCAGCAATGGCATGTTCTTCAAGTAATTGTTCGTGATCATGTGACGATGTACCTAACTGGCCTGGAACACTCGACATTCAAATTGATATTTTCTAATCTGAATTTAAAATTTTTCCTCTGAATTCAAAATCTACTCAAATATTGAGTTTTATTTGAAGAGCCCTACTGTGAGTTCAGTCCTCACATTAAAGATAACATACGGTCGTACTGTCCAACCCCTGAGAGACACAGACACTTCAGCCGCAAGGCAAACAGCAGAAATGATCCATGCAGCTCAGAGCCAATGTTAAAGCAGATACAAAGGAGATAAAAAGGGCCTCCATGTATGAGAAGGTTATCAGTTTTGGGCTACTGACTGGAACAAGAGGATGAAAGGAGAGCAGAGTGTGCCCTCAGGAGCTCAAAACACCCAGCCTTCCAAAGAAAAGAGCACAGGGCTCACAAGACGGCTCATCTTATTCCACGCAGGAGACAGTGACGAGGTGGAGGTGAAAAAAAGGAAAGCAGAGGAAAGAGACACTAAACATGATGGAGCTCCTTCGGCTGGTTCTTCATTAGGAATGCACTTGTTAAATTAAATCTATTGAAGCTAAGTGGGTGAGAAGATACTTCATCCTGATGTTCTAACAACAAGTGAGCAGCCAAATGTAGTATCACATAATGCCGTAAAGCTTTCAGGATGTCTATGCTGGAAACGTCAAATGCATCAAATCAAACTGTAAACAAACCACAGACTGATCAGAAAATAGCTGCTTTACTGACAGAGCTGTGCAGCTGTGGTTTGGGGCATGGATTTCAAAAGGAATGCGACAGGTTATGTTTTATTCCCAAATTCAACATCAGTAGTTTAAATAACAGTTAAAATACAACCCCTTTGGGACGCTGTGCAAAATGTAAATAAAAACAAAATGCAAAAGATGTGCAAAACATTTAAACCCTATATTTCATTGACAATAGTACAAAGACAACATATCAAATGTTGAATCTGATATATTTTATTGTTTTTTGAAAAATATTTGGCCATTTTGAATTTGATGCCAGCACCACGTTTTAAAAAAGTTGGGACGGGGGCAACAAAAGGCTGGTAAAGCTGCGTAATACTTAAAATAAATAAATAAATAAATAAAATAAAATAAAATAAAAAAAACACCTGGTGGTTATTTGGCAACAGGTCAGTAACATGACTGGGTATAAAAGAGCATCTCAGAGAGGCGGAGTCTTTCAGAAGTAAAGATGAGGAGGGGTTCACCACTCTGTGAAAGACTGCACGATCAAATAGTGCAACAGTTCAAGAATAACGTTTCTCAACATAAAATAGCAAAGAACTTGAGGATTTCATCATCTACAGTACAAAACACAATTAAAAGATTTAGAGAATCTGGAGAAATCTCTGTATGCAAGGGACAAGGCCAAAAACCAATGCTGGCTGGCCGTGATCTTCGGACAATCTGGCAGCTCTACATTAAAAACTGACAATTCTGTAGTGGAAATCATTGCATGAGCTCAGAAACACTTCTGAAAAACACTGTCTGTGAACACAGTTCATCACTGCATCCACAAATGCTAGTTAAAAATTTATCATGCAAGGAAAAAACCATAGATTAACAGGATTCAGAAATGCTGCCACCTTCTCTGGGCCTGAGCTCATTTAAGATGGACTGAGGCGATGTAAAAGTGTCCTGTGGTCTCACAAATCAAAATTTGATATTTTTTTGGAAATCATGGACACTGTGTCCTCCGGGCTAAAGACCACTCTGCTTGTTTTTAGCGCGCAGTTCAAAAGCCAGTATTCATGATGGTATAGGGGGGCATTAGTACACATGGCATGGGTGACGTGCACATCTGTGAAGACACCATTAATGCTGAACGATATGTCCAGGTTTTGGAGCAACATGTGCTGCCATCCAAACGACGTCTTTTTCAGGGAAGGCCTTGATTATTTCAGGAAGATGATGCCAAACCACATTTTGCATGTATTACAACAGAGTCTGGGTGCTAAACTGACCTGCCTGCAGTCCAGACTGTCACCACTGAAAACATTTGCCATGTTGTGAAAACGAAAAATGTGACAAATGAGCCCCTGAACTGTTGAGCAGCTGAAATCCTGCATCAAGCAAGAACAGGAAAAGTTTCACTTTCAAAACTACAGCAGTGTCTCCTCAGTTCCCAAACACTTAGAGTGTTGTTAAAGAAGAGGTGATGAAACACAGTGGTAAACAGGCCCCTGTCCCAACTTTCTGGAATGTGTTGTTGGCATCAAATACAAAATGGGTATATATTTTTCAATAAACAATAAAATTTATCAGCTTCAACATTTGATATGTTGTCTTTGTAGTATTTTCCTTAAAAAATATGGTTTACATGATTTGCACATCATTGCATCCTATTTTTATTTACATTTTGCACAGCGTCCCAACGGGGTTGTAGTTAAAATTTTCTCCAATCAAAATATTATAGTACTGAATTTGTGATGCAAACTGACTTATTGAAAACCTGTTTAGCACTTTTCAGCCTCTAATTAGTGATGACTAAAACTCTACAGTAGAATACAGAACACATCTTGAAGTCTTTAGTGACTTATTCAATTGTTATTAGGTTTAAAGCGATACACTACAGAAGTCAACTGACGTTATCTAGAACCTATAGGAATTGTACACTAATAAGATGTTCATTTAAGTGACTACTCATACTAAATAATATATTTAACAGAGCGTTTATTGTGCATTATTGCAACTGACTATGCAGTTAGCAGTGATTTACACATAACAGATCTTCAATTGTGCAGTAATACAGATCCTAATGAATAAAGTTTAACGCAGAGTGAATGAACAGTCATTTAGAAGTGACTGATTTGGGCTCTACAAGGCCTTAATAATCCCCCCAATGTGTGATCCTTAAAATAAAGTGATACTGAAATATTTAATGATGCTTATTAGGAGCCTTTAAGTACAGTAAAGCAAGTATGTATTTAGGCGCATGTGTGGTGTACAGTGTCTCACCAATCATTGTGTTGAGGGAGAGGTCTGGGATCCGTTTCTGGCTCCGGATCAAAGGAGTGCCACAGAAATTGATTGGAGAGTAGAGAGGGGACAAGCCAGAACTGTGATTAAGTGAGAAACAGACAGGAGGACAGACACAAAGAGAGAGACCTTTACAATCTTTGGTACAGACTAAAGATGTACATGATTAACCAATTAACCAATTAACTGCCAAATAAACGATTGTTCCACAAACGCTATTGGTTAAAAAAACACTAATTCCTATTTGAACGGCTGTTTATCATTCATGTGTTTATGGTCATACACTCTTAAAAGTGATGGTCCTTCAAGTGTTCTTTAGTGAAGAAAATGGTTCTATATAGAACCATGAACACTCAACGAACCCTTTGCATGATGAAAGGGTTCTTCGCATCGTAAAAGGGTTCTTCGGAATGTGCTGTTGATGGTTCTAGATAGAAGCTTTTTGAAAAGGATTCTATATGGCACTAAAAGCAGTTCTTTTATTGCTAAGATGTCAAGCTTGTAACAATACAGAACCCTTCTCAAGAAGGTTCTTTGAAGAACCATGTACCGTTCATTCCCCATCAGTCTGAAGAACCCTTTCATGGTGCGAAAAACCTTTTAATCATGCAAAGTGTTCTTTGAATGTTCATGGTTCTACATAGAACCATTTTCTTTACTAAAGAACTCTTGAAGAACTCTCTTTTTTAAGTGTGTATGGTGACAGCTTTCAAGAGCTACTGAGGTTCATGGAGCCAACTTCACAGCCTTAGAACATAGAACTTCCAGTAGCTCGTCATTGTATTTTTCAGTAATTTCATCAACTTTTAAGTGTTAGTTAGTCATATAATCATGACCATAAGAGTTTCAGCAACTCAGTTTAAGCAGAACCGGGTTCTCTTGTAGATTTTTGATACCTCTTCTACATGCTAAAGCCTGTGAGTACTCTGTTCCACTTTTCATACAAGAGCACTTTTTAATATCTCTGTGCTTTAAATAAAGAATTCAGTTAATGTGAGATTTCGTTAGTGAGCATCTATTACGCATTTTACAGCTTCGAACGTGGCTCAGCCAATCAGCTTTCAGAACTAGACGTTTCTACTTTCTTATATTTTAACCCCTTCCTGCAGGTCATTCCACCTGCTAAATGGACATCAATTTTTAACTAATATAATCAAATATTAGTTTCCCCTCTGTTATCAGATTAACTACGATACCGTTGTCTTGTTGAGCTGCTAGCAAGCAATGAGAGGCGAGAGGGGAGGGATGAGAACCCCCTGCCTTGAAAAACAATCACACCTCTCCACAAAGACGGCCATGCTGAAATAAAACTGCAGGTTTCTTCATATCAAACAAGCCTGTACAGTTATTACAATAAAAAAAATAGCATTTACACACAACAAACCCACTTTTATAAACGTTATAAAAGTTATGTATCAATAAATGACTCATTTGCTCACCTATGAAGATAAAAATCCATTTCACTTCTGGTTTTGTAAATCATACGCATTTTAATATATTCCATTAACATTACTGAAGGAAAAAAAAACACACTCAGTTCATCTGAGGGACATCCCAAACAGGCTGAAATTATATTTAATGGCTACTGTGGGAAAGAGTCAATATGTCCTTCATTTTAGGCTTGTTGAGTAATGACAGTACAGACAGCGAATGAAACATAATCAGTATAATCAATCAACTATAAAGATACCTGAGGTTGGCTGATGCTTTGCTAATGTGAGCTTTCAGCTCCCACAGCATGACACGGCCATCGCTGACCACCAGGGCGGCCCTGTTCTCGTTGACGGGGCAGACCACGGCGCGGTAGGGCCGCACCGTCTTGGTGACACGGATGGCGTCGCACTGTGAGCGCAGGTCATACACCAACTCCTGCACGCTCTGCTCCGGGTCTGCCGCTAAAACAGTAGAAGGAATTTTAAGAGAAATGCACTGGATTGTACTGAGATACCATCTACAAAGCAAACAGCTCTCTGGGACATGAAGGCCCACCAAGAAGGTACTTCTACCTAACTTACATGTTAGCTTCAGTGTAGTTCAGTGGTCGGCAATGTGTGGCTCAGGAGCCACATGCGGCTCTTTTACTGCCCTGTTGTGGCTCCACAGCGAATTAGATTTGTAGGTAAAAAATAAAATAATCCTCCTTTACAGTAAAATAAAGCTCTGCTGATCATTCAACACAGTTTAACAATAAATGGTCTTAAACGCTGGAGTTAATGTAGAACTGCTAATTCACCCTTTAACCCTGAAGATCAGCCCAGACTGCTGGTCACCATAGCAACACAGACAACAATCTCACCTAGCTAGTAGTTAACGAAACGGCAAAGAGAGAGATTTAAGATGAACACAATTTGGAGACGAATGGACTTATTTGCGTTTATAATCACTCCAGCTGGTTTCCTGATACGTTTAATCTGCAACAAGAAACTGTCAAACACTCAAAAGTCACAAAGCTTAAGTCGCTTCTCATTCGCCAGCCTCTAGTTCGAATTTTCCCCTTCCACCTTAAATGGTGCAGCAGTTACATTCTGGCACCTCAGGCACCTTTTAAAGTAGAACGGGTAAAATTTGAACAAGAAGCTGGCAAATGTGAAGCGACTTTAGCCTCGTAAAAATTAAACATTGAGAGACATTTTACAAGAAACTGTTCTACTTTTGAGGAAAAGTTTCCTGCCGGAGATGCGAGAAAAGTAGCTATAGTTGAGCTAAAACTTAAAGTAGAGCAAGTCTGCGTTTTCGTTTATATATTTTAGCCTATACTAGACTAGGATATTCGCACATACTGAGACATATTTACAGCCAAGATGGTGAAACGTTACTTCAATAAAATGGACATACTGTTGTGGCTCCCAAGGTGATTTGATTTTTGCTGAAAGGACAAATCGGCTCTTCTTAACATCTGGGTTGCGACCCCTGGTATAGTTATTGGGGCTGCATTATATGTTACAATATGTGGTGAAATATAGTAAAAACACAGGGACCTTTGATCTGATAGTGTAGCTTTGTCTTCATTATTTTCACCATAATCATGTGCACTAAAGTTGTGCAATCAGCTGAGATGCTTAGAGGACATAAAAACATTTTGTAATTGGTTAGAGGGCTCATTTGTATAGTGTATCCTTCTGTGACATCAGAAAAGCAAAGGTAAATACTACAATGCCAATTAAAAACCTATACATTGTGCAGCAGCAGTGCAAGCCTCAACTCCAAAAAAGTTAGGACAGTATGTGAAATGCAAATAAAAAGAGAAAAGAGATTTGTAAATTCGATTTGACATGTATTTAAACAAAAACACAAACACGATATTTAATTATTACTAGAAAATCTCACAGATTAAAAAATCTCTGAAAAACTGAGATGCTTCTGTGATGGTTATCACCACATGGGCTCGGGAATACTCTTGACCAATTGTTGTCAATAAACACGGTCAGTCACTACATTAACTAAATTAAGTTAAGACTGTACCATGCACAGTAAAAGTCATATGTCAACAACGTCAAGAAACACTGCCGACTTCTCTGGGCTCGTTTGAAACTGACTTTTGCAAAGTGGAAATGTGTATTGTGGTCTGAGAAGTCAACCTTTCAGATCATTTATGGAAATAACAGACGTTGTGTTCTCTGGACCAAAGAAGTAAAGGACTTTCCACATTACTACTAGTTTTAGAGTTAGTGGGTAACTTCTGTGAAAAGCTGTGAAAGCACCTCTAAGATTTATTTAAGCATGACAAGAGCAAGAAACATTCTGCATGCACAACAGCATGGCTGCGTAATCAGGGAGTGAGGGTGCTAGACTGGCCTATCTGCAGTCCAGACGTGTCTCCTATTGAAACCGTGTGGCGCATAATGAAGAACAAAATATGACGCTGAAGACCCTGTACGGCTACACAGCTGAAGACTTGTATGATGGCAATAATCTGCTTTCAAAACTGGATCAACTGGAGTCTTTAGTACCCAAACGATTAATAACTGTTGTTAAAAGGAAAGATGATGTAACACAGTGGTAAACAGGTTCCCGTCTCAACTTTTCTGGAACGTGCTGTAGGTATCAATATTGGGAGGAGCACATATTTACAAAAAAACAATAAAAAGCATGAGGCAATAATTGGTTTAATCCAAATATGCGATTATCGCATATCGAACAATGATTACTATTCTACAATGAGTCTCCCTTGAGCAGACTACTGCAATGATAAAGCTAAATCAGCTACAATACTGGTGTGGGATGCAATTCAATCAGCTCTTAAGGTTTTAGTACTAGCCCATTAGATCAATGCCCACAAAACTCACCCTACACTTACCTTCTTATCTGGTGTGACCATGTTATATTTGTACTTGTATAGACTGTGATCTTGACTGTACCTATTCATGTTTGTCCGCATTGAACAGGAATGTAAGTTACATACCTGTTGAAAGCTAATAAAAGTTGATCACAAAAAATAGCATAAGGTAAAATATCAAATATGTTTTTATAGTGTTTTCAATTTAGCACAGGTTAAACAGAAATTAGTAATCACTGCTGTCACTTTTGTGGAATTGAGGTTTGTAGTTATTGAACAATTCACAGTACTTACTGAATACATATTAGGATTAATAGCTTAATAATAAGCCTGCAGTTCAACGCAAAATAAGAAAAGTACTAATAATGTGCACAAAAAAGTGCTAATAGCGATGCAAGGAAGCTAGGAATGCAAAGAGGTACAGTTTTTAAAAAGATGGTTCTTCAGGGGTTCTTTCTTAAAGAAAATGGTTCTATATAGAACCAGGAACCTGCAAAGAACCCTTTGTATGATGAAAGTGTTCTTTGCATCAAGAAAGGGTTCTTCTTGAGTTCTTAGAACACAGAACTCATCATTGTATTTTTCAATAATTTCATCAATTTTTAAGTGTTTGGTCATATAATCATGAACACAAGAGTTTCAGCTCCTCGGTTTCAACAGAACCGGGTTCTCAAGCAGATTATTTTTATATAATTTTAGGACGTTTACTTCCTATACACACTGATGCCTATCAGGACTACGCTCCATGAACCTGCAGTTCAATGTGATAAATAGGCCATACTAATAATGTCTGCACAGAGGTACACGCTTAAAGATGGTTCTTCAGGGGCTCTTTAGTAAAGAAAATGGTTCTATATAGAACCACAAACAGGCAAAGAACCCTCTGTATGATTAAAGGGTTTTGCGTCATGAAAGGGTTCTTCAGATTGATGGAGAAAGTGCTGTAGATGAATGAAGATGATTTTTCTTTCTTTTTAATATACAGCACTCCAAAGGGTTCTGCTCTTGTTATGATGTCAAGCTTGTTACAACAGAAGAACCATTTTAGGTGCTATATAGAACCCTTTTCAAAAAGGCTCTATATAAAACCATATACAACACATTCTCCATCAATCTGCAAAAGGAACCATTTCATGATGCAAAAAACCTGTAATCATACAAAGACTTCTTTGAGTATTCATGGTTCTATATAGAACCATTTACTTTACTAAAGAACCCTTGAAGCACCATCTTTTACAAGACTTCTTTCATTATAAATCCATTATTAGAAATGTAGATATAACTGTTCCTTTTAATATTCCTCTAAATTCAAGCTCATAGAATTCTATGAGGTGCATTAGCAGAGAACACTGTAAGGGTAGAACCATTAGAACTCGCAGCCAAGGCCAGTTTACTGGATATGAACCATCAGCCTCTGAGCTGATGGTCCGCTGCCCTCGCCACTGAGCTCTGCAGAGTGTTGTGAGCTGCTGTTCCAGCGTGTTAGTAAAGCCTGACAGATTGATTGGTCTTGCGGTCTCTGGTGGCCAAACAGCATTTGAAATGAATGGATGGCTTGTGAGAACGTTTAGGGGGGGTGGAAGAAGGGTGGGGGGGTCTTGCCTGTTTCCTCCGCCAAGGGTGTGGTGGACCGGCACACACGGAGTGTGATGCAGCCGTTCTCGTGCAGGCAGTAGAGAACATCCCTCTGGGCACACGGGATCACCTGCAGGAGAAAGGACAGCAGGAGTGTGTGCGTCACATCTCATCTGCTCACATCTCACACACACAGATACACAGACACACCTGCAGCACCCACAGCTGATTGTCAGACCCAAAGGACCCAAAAACTTCCCTCAAACTTACAAACTAACAACACTCAGTGTGGAACACGCTTGAGGCCTCCTGCCAGGACGTGTGAGATTTAGTAACCTCAGTGCTAAATCCAATAAAAACAAAAGGAGGGCTCCCAAGTGGCATTGGCCCTGTCATCAGGAGATCACTGGTGATGCTACAGCCGTCAGTGGCCGGGAGTCCAAGAGAGCACAACAGACCTTTTTCACTGTCACTGCATCGTCACATCCGGCTGTAAACAGTAGCGTTATCGAACTTTCACCTGCACCGTTTAACAGAGTGGCAATAGAGGGTCTCCGGTTTTCAGCATCTCTCAAAAAACGTCCTTCGGCCTCAGCTTGGTTAACAGAAGAGCGGTTTCCATGTCTGGTAGTTCCTCTAACATGGGCAGAAAGGTTAGTCTGAAGTGGCTAAAGTGCACGTCACGCAAAACTCTGTATGAATCTGCGCATCTGCCGCTGTGTGCTGTTTTTACCACTGTGCGGCGCTCAGGGGCAGCCCGGTAAACAAAGTACGCTGCGGCAGACAACGGAGCCACGCATCCCACGTCTGAAAGCGCATCTCCGCTCAGTTTTACTCTTTTTTTGATTGGCTACCTCGTTAAAATGTGACACATGACGAGCTGAGCTTTTCAGCTGAAGTTGAACATTTTTAAACTTAATCGAGTGGAAACTCAGGTGAGGCTGTTCAGTTGAATTATTGGTGCATTAGGAACGCAGGAATGATTTCAGGCAGTATCAGCCGTTGTTTACAGCGCGACCGGAAGCCGTTTAACGCTACTATTTACTCGTCCGCATTAACGAACGCGGAAGTGTGAAAATAGTCAATTAGCTCTCTGGGTGGGTGGGTGGTAGGATGCCCCCCTCCCCCCATCACTCAACGCAATGCTACTCAGTGCAGGTGTCTGTTAGCTGATGCAACAGAACTGGCGATTGGCACTTTCCTCCAAGCGTGTTCAACTGTCCAATGACGTTGCGGTAGCCGCAGTTCAAAAAGATGCGGCGGTGCTTCACAGGACTCGGAGGAAGCCTGTTCTAGCCTTCACCCTCTTAGCGCTTAGAAAACTGGTGAAAAATCCAAATAAATAAATAAAAACAAAAAGAAAAGGCAGTGTAACATAATATGGCCTTGCTGACGAGAGCTCCACCGCAGTGGTTTTGGGTTCATGTGATTTTGCTCAGGTTGCTTGTTCATTGATACAGAATAACTGTGAGACACTTTTGGATGTTCGAGTGTCACTTGGAGTTAGTAGGCTAATAACACAGCACTCTGAAAGTTATTTACTGTTGTAATTATCACACTTAATTACTCCTCTGTTTTCACATCTGTATGGATCATGTGCAATATTGAACTTATTTAGCAGTATTTTAAGGGGATTTTACTGCCTGTGTAATACATTTATACATCATACATCATCTAAACCACTTATCCTTCTGGGTCGCGGTGGGGTGCTGGAGCCTATCCCAGCTGTCATTGGGCGGAAGGCAGGATACACCCTGGACAGGTCGCCAGTCCATCGCAGGGCAGACAGAAAGACATACACAATCACACATTCACACCTAGGGGCAATTTTTACATGTCCAATCAGCCTGACTGCATGTTTTTGGACTGTGGGAGGAAACCGGAGTACCCGGAGGAAACCCACGCAGACACGGGGAGAACATGCAAACTCCACACAGAGATGACCCTGGTTGCCCGGCCGGGAATTGAACCCAGGCCATTCTTGCTGTGAGGCGACAGCGCTACCCACTGCACCACCGTGCCGCCCTTCACCGTGCCGCCCTACATTTATACATCATTAATGACATTCTTCACAGATACACGGAGTGAGTTAGATTTCTATTAGTATTCAGTTTAAATGTACCTTTAATGGGAGACAGATAGTAGGAAGGTATTGACAATTATGTGGATTCTTGTCTTCAGCATTTCACTGTTCAGACTGAGTGTGTTATTCTGTTATTCAATTGGATACAATAGAGTGGCATCTTTTTGAAACATTTTTCAATATAGGAAAAAATAAACTGTGCATATGTTGTTTTTTTTCAGTTTTTGACATAATTTGAAAGTACCCATTGTCCTTTACATTGTGTGGACATTTCATAATGAGTGGACCAACAGAAACGACCCAAAATTTCTTGGAAAAAAGTCTGGCTCCTTTGACTTTGCATTAAAAGTAAAGTATTTTTTTCCCTTTTCCTGTAAAGTTCGAATTTTGGAGATACAGCGATGCAGTATGTTAATGTTTCCATTTTGAGTTTATTCTAATACTCTAATACAAAAGTATAGTATTTCAAACACAAGCTGTGCTTTATAGTGTCCCAATCAAGCACTCCAGCCACAAACTACATGAGCCGCAAGCTAACACACTACTGACAACTCAATACACTGTATTGTTACATGATACAGCGTATGTATGAATATCTGAAAATAACTAGAGGTTCTAGTTCGTTTGTTTTTTTTTTTACTTTTACCTAATTTTCCTCCCCAGCTGTCCGATTCCACCCAGCAGCTCTGATGATGTCAAGCTGGAAGTTCATGAGTTTCCTCCGAGACATGTGAAGCTTCACCACATCTTTTCAAACTGCTACTAACGCAACGTCATTGGAGCTCAACACGCTTGGAGGAGAACGCTAACTGCTAATTCTGTGACATCAGCTAACAGATGCACTGGCCAGCATCTCGCTGAGTGAGGAGGGGAGAGGGAGGACCACCTTGTCCACCCAGAAGGAGAGAGGACAGTGATGCTCTCTTGGGCCCAATTTCATCCATTTCACCCCTCACCCCTACCACTGAGCCCTTAGCCCTCTGTTCACGTCTAGGGGTAGGGTGTCCCGATTCTTGTTGAGATAGAGGGGTAGGGTGAAGTGTTGGGGCTACATGAACCTCCAAACAGAGGTTTTTCAGACACTCTAAACAGAGAGTTATGAGAAAAAAAGAAAAACCGGCGAGATGGAGAACAAGAGACCAAAGAAACCCACAAATGTGAGAATTTTCTCTGTTAAAAATTATGATAATCATTGTTTTATCTTAGTTTAATGTCATTTCAATGTATTATGGTCGTTTTCTTCATAACAAGCATAAAAAATCACTAATAGGATGCTGATGTTGATAGCTGATAGCTAGCTAGCCAAATTTCCCGTTCCACCTTGAATGGTGCAGCAGTACTGATGCCTGAAGCGCCAGAATGTAACTGCTGCACCATTTAAGGTGGGAACGGGAAAATTTCAAACAAGAAGCTGGTGAATATCTGACGTCAGCTTCATATCACTGAAGAATATATAATAATAGAATAAATAATTGGCCCCCTGGACATGGATGGTTGTGGCCTCGTCAGGGAGAGAACTGTGATCTCCTGACAATACGGCCAACACTTTGATAGCTGCATAACTCAGGAGCCATACTGAACATTTCTGCTCCTTATAATACAAGCTCAAGGGCAAAAAGAATTACCCAAAATAATGTCTTATGAATGTTATATGTCCATAAAAATATGATATAATCAGCCAATTAACAAGCAATTCCTGAGTTGAAGTGGGTAAACAGGAAAACAGACAGTTCTAAATATTGACATTTAATTTTCTGCTTAGGTCTCAATGTAACTGTGAGCACAATTTAATATAAAATGCCCCTCAAGGCTGAAAACTACCCCTTTAAAAAAATGTACTTGTAACAGGATTTCAATATAAAAGCAATACTGACTTGGATTTTGCTCATTATTATTAGACGATCTGTAACCTAATCTCTGCTGTAAAGTCACCGTTTTGGAGATACAGTGTTTATTTTCTTTTTTTTGAACAGCCTAATTATCCATAGCTGATGACATACTGTAGGAGGAGTATGGAGGGTATAGTGAGATATTAACAGTATTTCGCTGTAAGTGTTTTTCTGTGATCTTCACAGATCTTCTGTGATCGATCACATTTCACCTCAGCTGACCTGGTCCAGCTAAAAGCTTCTAAAGTTTTGCTCAACAGCATTTTATCAACATTCAGTCGATGGAGAGAAGCACTGAGATTTCCTGGAAACTCGCTTAAAGTGCGGACGCTCAGGTTTTACAAATGGGCCGAATTAAGAATGCAGGTCCATCGTTTGTTCTTTATAGTTGGCCAGAAGAACCTTAAAGAAAGTTTGCAGAATAAAACTATACGTCAATATCGAGAGGTTAAAACCTGTGTGGATGCTGCTCACTTTAAAAATCCTGAGCTGAACTCAGTCAGTACCTTTCAGTAACCCTCACACTGAGGTCATCTTCCACTGAACAATGTTAGGAAAGCATTATGGGAAGTGGAAAAAACAGATAATTCACTGTTAGATAATGTTTTTCTCTACTTCATTGACAGAAAAGGACAAGAAGTCGACTGGTAGAACATCCACACACCAATTGCTAAATAAAGTTATTAGGGAACAATCGATATGAAAATTTTGTAACTAACATCAAAACCAATGGCTCCAAATTCAGATAATCAATTATACCAACCAATACAATTTAATACAGTCAAAAATTAAAAAGATTCAGTTTTTTTAGGTAAACAGTGCCTCACTGACCGGTAAGACTGTTAGCTGTTAACTGAACAGCCAAATATGACTCTAATGTAACACAGAGTATTTAGCAGTTAATTTATACATAATGTTATTAGTGCATGAATTAAACTAAATGATTTATATCTACACCGATCAGGACCCCCATGGACCCTCACAGAGCAGGTACTATTTGGGTGGTGGATCATTCTCAGCACTGCAGTAACACTGCACTGATGTGGTAGTGGTGTGTTAAGTGTGTGTTGTGCTGGTACGAGTGGATCAGACACAGCAGTGCTGCTGGAGTTTTTAAACACTGTGTCCACTCACTGTCCACTCTATTCGACACTCCTACCTTGTCAGTCCACCTTGTAGATGTAAAGTCAGAGACGATAGCTCATCTGCTGCTGCATAGTTTGTGTTGGTCATCCTCTAGTCCTTCATCAGTGGTCACAGGACGCTGCCCACAGGACACTGTTGGCTGGACATTTTTGGTTGGTGGACTATTCTCAGTCCAGCAGTGACACTGAGGTGTTTAAAAACTCCAGCAGCACTGCTGTGTCTGATCCACTCAGACCAGCACAACACACACTAACACACCACCACCACGTCAGTGTTACTGCAGTGCTGAGAATGACCCACCACCCAAATAGTACCTGCTCTGTGAGGGTCCATGGGGGTCCTGACCACTGAAGAACAGGGTAAAAGGTGGCTAACAAAGTATCAGAGAAACAGATGGACTACAGTCTGTAACTGTAGAACTACAAAGTGCACCTATATAGTAAGTGGAGCTGATAAAATGGACAATGAGTGTAGAAACAAGGAGGTGGTCATAATGTTATGCCTGATGGTACAGGACAATGGAGGGTGGTGGAAAGTTAAGGGCAAGAAGTTCCTAAGAATGTCTTAAAGAAGAAGTAGGGCATCTGGAGCGAGTGTGAGGGTTCTGAGAGAGAGAGAGACTTTGTGTGTCCGTTTTTTGGCTGACTCCCCGCTCCCACGGTCCAGCCTACATTCAGAGTGTGCGTGTGCTCGCAGCTGCATCATCAGTCATGCAAATGGCCTTCCTGACAAGCGCTTTATAACACTTAGGAAACTCTGACACTCCTACAGAGAGAATCTGGACATACGTGTGTATGTGAGTAAATTGGAGAACAGAGTTTCCAGCGCTGTGACTGAGGAGGAGGCTGTGTCCTGTGAACATAACTGAACAAAGACAAATACACTCAGAAAAAAAGAAAGGGCGCCCTCAAATCCACACAAAACTGACGGAGCTATGCAAAAGTGGGTCACTGAAGAACACGCCAAGATTACAAGAGGCCTCATGATGCAATAGTATCACAATACTTGAGCCACAATATGGATTTTTACCCAGTTTTCTCCCCTATTTAGTCTTTGCCATTTCGACCTGCATTGTACC